GATAGAAAGCCAGTGACAGAAAGCTGCAGACTGGGACAACTGAGGACCTTCCTCAGCAATCACTGAAAACTTGCGCATAACGGACTGAGAGATAGTGGGGAGCAATATGGGAGGACAAACTAACTGTCGGGTGAAAGATCTAGGGAAGGGAGAAATGGATAGAACAGATCACAATGCTGCAATCACTGACAGTTTATAGGAAAGGGGCTGGAATGGGGAGTGAGAAGGGTTGCAGGAAAGAAGGTCGAGAAAAATTGTGAAGAAGACAGTGATTGTGGTGGAGATGGTGAGAGATCATAGCAGAAGCTTTGTGGGTGGGGATTTTGAGAAGGAGGGATGGGAAGAAAGATTTGGCGGAGTAGAAATGCATGAGCAGTGCTGGAAAGCATTTACTGTTGCATCTAACACTTCACGCCCTTCAGTTGATGACTTTCCTGAGTCCTGCAAAATGTTTTTGTGGCAGGCTGGTTTGATTTTCACATTATTAATAATTTGAATCCCTCTGTATCACCCATTGTGAGGCTTTAAGTTACAACAGTCAACCCCACAACCACCTTTAATCTTAAATGTTGCAAATGATCAACTCAGGTCGATAAAAGGTTGCTGCTTTATATAAAGCTTAATTTTTTTTTTAAAAAAGTTCTCTCTTGCAAATCTTTATAAAATAATCAAGTTATTCAAGATAATTTTGTTTGCTGGATGCACATGAAGCAATAGCCAAATCCTGAGCAGATGAAATAAAGAAGCAGCCAAACAAAAGTAAAAGATAAGCCCACAAGACTAATGGAGGTTAGAAACGCTCTGCACTAGTTTAGGAATCTGAGTTTATATTTCATAATCCAAAAAAATCAATTGACATTTAAAATTGCATTACTGCTCAGATGAGTGTCACATGGTAATAATTAAAACAACGGACAAATTGCCCAAGCTAATGAAATATAGTGGCAGAAAAAGTGGAACACTGAGTAAATGAACGTAGATCGAGTAATAATCATTAAATATTAGATGTAGCTTTTCAATTCTGAATTATTAGGAATTCACAACTATTTAAATAAGTTCTCTAGCGTAAAAATTAAATCTGTAGCTGGCATTTTGTCGATGTGCCATAGTCTTATTGCAAGGTCCAAATGGACGTTCCTAGCCTGCATGGGTGGACAGTGGAACCATGGTGGAGATATTATCAGTGGCAGCTAATTACGAAGCCGCTACCAAGAATTCCATTCCATAAAGAAGCTTTCCTCTCAAACTTGATCCATACGAAGGGATGGTAGCCTCCCCAGCTTTGGCAGCACTACCAACGGAGGTGGATGTTACTGAGGCGGCCTCCATGTTGAGGCTCTGTTCAAGAGCTGGAGTTAATTTTCTTTTGGTATTCCAGGACAGGCAGACCTTGGTGATGGAGGGTTGAATGCTGAAAGCATGGCTTCAAAGAGACAGTGGTGGTCATTGTCACTGTTGGGGCTGGACCATTTTGTGGGCTATGAAGTTCTCAGAAACAAAGGAAAGATGGAAATTCTAGACTCCACTTCCTGGGAAGCTGCATTTATATAGCTGGAATATTGTGCAGTGAGGGACCATTCCAATGGCAGTAAAATGTTGTGGTGGCTTCATATGGCCATTAAAAAAACAGCTATTTACCCTAATTGCCATTCAATTCTACTTAGCAGGCAACTGAACCATTGCTGTTGCTGCCTTTTAAAATATCCTACGGCAACGGGAGGACACCAGGCTTCCATTCTAATGCTTTCTGCTGCTATTTTAGCTGCCTATATCCAAATTGTAGCATGTTAGCAAAACTAGCAATTGTGCCCTTTGTAATACACTTTTTCTCCTTTTGTTTTGTTTCAACATATAATGAACAGTTATGTTTGAAGAAGAATGATAAATGTTTTTAAACACGAAGTAAAACTATTATCCACTATAATTTGTCATATAAAGCAGGTTGACATTCCAATTTCCTTACAGCTACCACTACAAAATCAAGTTATGGAATCTCAACAAACAGTACATGTATGCTTTGATATTAAATGTTAAATGTTTGTAGCAGTTATTCTGCAGTGTATAACATTTTGTATTTCACTTAATCGATAACCCGATGAACTGTTCCAATAAAGTGACAGGCTGTTGTGATAAAATGGCTTTGTGCTATTCTGGAATATCTTATTCGACCATTTCTATGTATATACATGATTTTTTCATTTTGAATCTCACAAATCATCTGAAACAAAATGGTGATTTTTTTTTGCGGAGGAGTTCACATTTAATATCAAGGGCATTAATTTGTTCTAAGATCAGAATGAAGAGGCTTTTTTATTGAGTTATTAAAAATGGAGGGCATTAACAATAGTGAACATGCTTGCAGCAAAACAGCTTTTAGTTACCTCATAGTGCAATGACCACATCATTGTATTTGATAGGATTCATATACTTCAATGTGAAACTGGATTCTCACTTATTTCAATTCTTATTTATCATAAGGCTCAAAGTTTCAACGTAAAATGAGGGGTGGGGTGGGCACAAGGCAAGAATATAATATCCAGGAGGGCAACAATTTGAAACAAATCTGAACACACTTTCCACTGTATATAAAACTCACCTGGAAAAGCTGGTGTAGAAGGAGAAGATAACTCCTACCTGGTCCTTAGATCAAAAGACATGAGGAGTGTATTGGAGGATATTCTGATTCTTATTAATTCATCCCAGTTACATTTTGTTGCCAAATTTCTCTTCGTGGAAAGTTTTTGTAACACTTTGTTCTCCTTTTTAGAGCAATTTGTGCGATATGATATTATTTCAATTTTCTATCATACAGATTGTGTCCCTTTTAAGCCTGTACAATAACCGGCTACCCATTCAGATTCTACACCATGATGTAGTCTCTGTAATTTGGGATGGAATCCATGTTTTTGTACCAAGTGTCCAAAGATTCTATGGGAACTCCACATTCACATTTCCTGCATTCGTATCTAGATAACCAATACCATCTCTTGCTATAAATTTAAGCTTTCTTTATATGCTTGGCCTATCTCCGCTGATGTCAAGTGGAACTCCCCATCATCTCTAATACTAATGCTACTTGATAATGGATCATTGATCTCTAGAAAAATTGTGTAAATGGATGTTCAGGCTATTTCTCCAGAAATTTCATGGATGATCCACCAAAGTTAGAACAGGAAATTGAAAATGTCGATGGAAAACTTAAGACACTAATCTTTCATTCTCTCTCTCTCTCTCTCTCTCTCTCTCTCTGCACCCCCGCCTCAAAAACAACATGCAGGAGTCAAATTCTACAGCAAAAAAACAAAGTCTCTAATTTAACTTTCTTATTATTGCCACTGATGAAACTAGGAGACAGACAGAGACTAAAAGACTTTAGGAGAAAGACATGCAGAGAAATAAGGGAAAGCAAGTAGATAATGAGTAATTTTAACCTCACTGCCTCAAGATGAAGCAATACATTTTTTAGATTATACCTTATTTTAGCAATTTGAGGGGATTATACAATGGCCAGATGACTTCCTCTGTCAGCTTGTCGCTCAAATAGCACTGCTCAAAATTGTCCTCCAGTGTATTTCTAACCCGAATTCCTTTTAACATTTGCTAAAATAGGAAAGCAGATAATGCCAGCTTTAGTAAATTGGATAGGACAAACAGAAAGAAGATAATTGAAGGGACCTGTAGCCTCTCACGATGCAAGAAGTCAGAAACAGTTAGCAGTGGATAGAATTAAGAAGTAAGTGATTGATAGTGGAATGATGAGGATTATGGGTTGAGTAGGTCATACAAAGACAGAGCAATATGGAGAATCACAAAAAAATTTCAAAGGATAGGAGGAAGTACAAGTGATAGAGTGTGATAATTAGAAAGGAGGTCTAGTGTTCACATTTTCATCTTAACCATGACCAGAAACAGAACCTATGACCATCAGTTCCTGACCTGCCACTCTAACACCACCTCCCAACTGAAAAAGAAAAGAACAAAAGAAGAAGAAAAGAGAAATAAATGTGTTTAGGAAGAGAAACTGAAGAGCTAAGAAGAACAGACAGAAGCAGAAGAGGAAATGCAAAGTGACAAAGGCAACAAAGGCAGTTTATACAAAGATTGCATCTATTTCTTGAAATGTAGTTCATTTGTTAAAATATGCAGGACCATTTTATCTGGTAATCATTTCAATGTATAATTTAATTGTTGAAGCTTTTTCTTAGCTATTGATTCTGGAACTTAAAAGTACTGAAAACGGATTTAAAAGACCGAGTGAGAAATGTTATAGAATGAAAGAAATGAAAAGGAAAACGCAAAATATTTCCAAAGTTTCAGTACAAATTGAAAGTACATGATAAGAACATAAGAAATAGAAGCATGGGTAGATCATTTGGTGTCTCACGACTGTTGTGCCATTCAATAAGACCATGACTGAGCTGATTGTGGACCTTAACTCTAATTTCCTGCCTGCTCCACAAAATGCTCAACTCCATTATTGATCAAAAATCTGTCTAACTCAGCCTTGTTTGGATTCAATAGGCCAGCTTCCACCACTCCCTCGGGTTGACAATCCCAAAGATTAATGACCCTCTTAAAGAAAAAAAAAATCCTCCCATTCTTCATCTTAAATAAGAAACTCCTTATGTTGAAACTATGCCCCTAGTTTTAAGTTCTCTGATGAGGGGAAACATTCTCTTAGCATCTACTTTGTCAAACTCCCTCAGAATCCTACGTATTTCAATAAGATCAACTTTCATACTTCTAAACTATACTTTGCTGCAAATTTCCTCCCAAATTCTTGAAACCCTTTCCTGAAAATGTATGCATACTCCTCAGCACAGATGCAAAAGTAGTGTGCAACACAGAATAAAATGTATGTGACTATAAATTGTGTAATATGGGCCATGGGGTCCCTGAAGAAAAAATATTTTTTTTAAAGATGAAAAAGTACAAAATGTTCTATTAAAATGCAAATAATCAATATAAATTTAATTTTAAAACATTTAATTGGTACTCACCAAATAATCTTGATCATAGCTCCATACTCCACAGGCTAGTTCCACACAGAATATTACAAGCAGGATACCAAAGTACTGCAAAATTACAACATGGATTTGTTTTGTGTCACAAATACTGTGGCTGAATGAATTTGATAAATAGCGGAGTCACACAGATGGAAAAGGTATTAAACAATGTATCAAATTATCAGTAGAATTTTCTGCGACTGTTAATTACAAAGATTTTTGTTATGTACTTTTCCTAAATCAACTTGTTCAGAATTGTTATGAGACACATCTGGAGCAGGTTGGACTTGATCCTGGGTCTCTTGGTTCAGAGGTAGGGACACTACCACTGTGCCACAACATCCTCAGGTTGCTTTTTCCAGTCCTGAAGAAGGGTAATACCCGAAACATTGACTTCTTCTTGTAATCCAAAATCGGATAAAGCAAACCAAAAAGGATTAAATACAAGCATTCTGAATTTTAGCTTTACAATTGGCAGCAATTTCCAACAGAATTGGGCTCTCTTAACTCCAGAGATGGCAACTACAGGTTGTATCTCCCTAATCCGACACATTCTTGTCCAGAGACCTCTGAGGTCTGGCACCTGCAGTCCTTCTGTCCAGTCTGCACTCACAAAGGAGAATGATCATTTGCAGCATAAACACCGCATCACTAACAGCAGCTGGAAAGGTACTGGCAGCACATGAGAATACATATATAATTCTCTCATTTTAAGTTGCACGGTACTTTTAAAATACCGGCACTGACACATGACCATTTTGGTCAGCAAACTGTCCAACTGGTGAAGGCCGGTCCTAAGGTTGCCAGTTTAAAGAGGTACAAGCTGTACTATGCCACCAACAATTTCGGTGGCAGCAGCTTTTGCCCTCAATATCCTGTCATTAGCAACGATGCATCATTCTGCAGAGGTGGGCATTTCTTATGTCAGCCACATGTACCAGAATTTAACTATTTTGAACTAGTTTATCACTGTTATTTATGCACTGAATTCCAGTCTCGTCTACCAGAAAAAAATACCACGTATACCCTCAGAAGTCTCAGATTTATGGGCCCATAATCTCTATATTTAGAAACTTGTATCAGTTGAAGAGAAGGAATTCTTTTTAAGCACATTAATTTTGAGGTTGCATGCAAAAGGAATTTAGTTTAAGCTTAAAACTCTGTCTACCCAAAACACATTTGTTATAAACTAAACCATATCAAAACAGCAGACTAGTTGGATGTTGCAAGTTATCTCAATATGATGTTTTATATCATTTTAAAATTTATTTAGTACACTAACAGACTGTCAGCAAAATCTAAAAATGTTCAAACCACTGAGCTCCAGAATTTAAGCTACACAGCAACTTATATGTATCAGATCTTCTCACTTAGAAAGAAATCAAACTAGGTTTGATCACTACACATCAGAGACCATTACCCAAAATTGGGCAGTACTGCAAGAAAACATCACAAGTTCTTGACACAGTCAATGATAGGTCTCAAGGTGACACATCACCCCCCTAAAAGCCCCAACTAAATGCTAAAAATGACCAGGAATCACATATTCAACCGTATTAAGTTGTATAAAATGTGGCTGCAAACTGAAACCTGGTGCAATGAATGTCCAAGTTGTGTGTTGAGAGTGGCAAGTTGGAACATTTTTTAAAGGTATTGTAAGCAAACAACATCTTCACCTCAAAAATAACAAAACAGGACCTGCAAAAACAAAATTTACAGAAAAATAGAAATCATGGAACTAGGAAAATGGTCAAGAAGTTAAAGATACAGAACAAAAGGAAGACAACATTCCTAGAGAAAACTGAAGAGTGAGAAAACAGATTCTGGACTATCAACTGTTTCAATGCTAGCAGACAACTTGCTGTGGTAGAAATCTGTGACAGTAGTGCCTGCTAACATAAAATATCAAGGTCTAGGAGGCACAGATCTTCATGGATAAACTGTTGTGAAGCTTAGTCACAGAAGACGAAGTGTCAGTGAAACCTTATGTACACTGATGAATCAGAATACCTCATTGTTGACCAGAAGTGCACATCTTTTTCTAGGTCTCTTAGTGCCATAACTTATTACCATTTGGAACCTGTAACTAACAATTTTGAAATCATGGCTTGAAATAATACTTAATTTAATACACATAAATTAGCTTTCTCCACATAAATGATAGAATCATAGAATCGTAGTACCAAAATGATTCTAGGACTGGCAGAAGCAATTCACACAAAAGGCTGTCTTTTACGAGGGGTGTCTGGACCCTGATGTTGGGATAAAAAGCAGTTTTAAGCCCACACTTTGCTGACAGCAATACCTCAGCAATTTTACTACAGGCAGCCTCCTAATTGGGCACCTAGTGGCCTCTCATTCAATTAAAGATTGTGGATGAGCTCTTCAAGCAGCTAGCCTGATCATATGACCATCGGCTCTAAGGGCTCTACAGAAGCATTGGAGAGGTGGTCCCTACTGAGGAGCGCAGAAAACACCAGACATGTTAAGAAAAAGTTGAAACCAAAGAGAATTCACAGGGCCAATGATCAGACAGGAGGCCCTTCCAGGGAGGTCTTTGGGCCTGCAGTTGCTGCCTTCCTTGCCCACAGTCTCCTCTTTGACTCATATGATTATCCTTGTTGGCATCATTAGGAAGCCACCTGAGCTGGCAGACTCACCACACATAGGGATGTCAGCACATCACTAGTCAAATGCCAATCAAAATTTAAAAGTGGTCTTTAATAGTGCCTTTACATATGTGAATCCGCTGCCTAACTCCTTGGGGCGAGTGTCTGTTGACCATCTCGTCCTGCCATTAGTTAAACGCCAAATAGTGCAACCAGTCAGGGAGACAAACTAACACAGCTCCTAGCGAGTTTGTGATTCTCCTGAGGACCTGTAAAATCCTGGCCAAATGGTCAACAGCTTTTCTAGTACATGTTGTTCACTTTCGTAAATCTTACTATTTTTGCATTATTCAATTATCTGGTAAATTGTACTATTGATTAGTTTTATCTCATACTAAGATTAGCAAGCAAACGTTCTGAGGAAGGGTCACCAGACCTGAAACATTAACATTGATTTCTCTTCACAAATGCCGCCAGACCCGTTCAGCTTTTCCTTTCCAGCAATTTCTGTTCTTGTTTCTGATTAACTTACAGATAAATTTCCTTCAGCTCAGTTTTGTCACAACTTTATTTTTCTTTAATCTGAGACTTATTCATTCCTCTTTCTCAAGTATTCTGATACAGAACAAATAATAATTTGAAGGAGTTTACATACTAGAGGATTGTAAACAATTGAGAAAAGGCACAGCAGACTTACATCCTATTGCCTGGACTCTTAAGTATAACTCCCAAACTCAAGAAGTTAGCAGATTCGTGGGAAATGAAGTATAACATGAATAATGCAAAAATATCTAAATGTGAAGTGGGATGAGATCTGAGGTGGATTTGGGGCTTAACGGCACAGTGTCAGGAAAGAAAACAAATAGAATGTATTGTTATTTTGTTCAGTCAGCTGAATATAAAATCATGCTAATGTACAGACCCTACTGTAAATACTTGAGAAACATAGCCTACTGTATTCTATTTTGGTCACCAAGCCAAAACTGAAATATTCAAGTCACGAAGATGGTGCAGAAAAAAAAAGAGTGCAACAATCTGTGATCTATTTGCTTTGCAATGAGTCAGGAATTCTTCCAACTCTTGCAATACACATATGACTCAGTATTAGTTTCATAGGTAAATCAGCATTTGCTGCTCTTAAACCCTGATCAATGTGAATAAAGAATATTAATATGCAAAGGAAAATATGTTTAGATCTATTAAACTAAAAAAAATTGGGCCAGATTTTATGGAATCTGATCAATGCATGTGTTATTCACATGCAAAATGTCCAGCAGTCTGGGACGAGGAACAACTATCCCATGAATTGCAAATCACCACAAATTAGTTGACAAATGACATGCATTGATTCTTCCCTGTATGATCATTTTTAAAGAACTTCAAATCAAGTTCTCTTGTCCAGAAAGTAATGTAGCGTGCTGTTCCTTCAGTTAGGGAATTGTTGCAGATCTTTGAAATTAGATCAAACTCAAGTTTTTATTATTTTTAACTTGTTTAGTTATTTTTGCTCTTACTTTCCCTTGTGTAGGTTATGAAGATATGCTGTTCTGTCCTGTTCACTAAAATCTCAGATGCCCTCTTGCGCTCGATGAGCCATTATCAATTCACAAGTTCTAGCATATTTGTGGCAAGTGTTTAAAACCCTAACCAAAAAAAAACCAAGTCTAATTAACTGGACATGCCACAGTTTGCCAGCCTCCAGCAAAATCTGGGACCTTACATTTACACAAGCTCTGCATCAAATTCTAATGATGAAGATAATGGGTTGAATTTTCCCCTGGGCTTCAGGACTCCAATGAAGAGATTTCAAGCCTGCATCTGTTGTGATTGAGTCTGGCGTTGCAATCTTCCCAAAGGTGCTTCCAGTGGAACCACCCGTGGCACAGGGGGAGTCTTTTGTAGTTGCTGCACTGTGGAGCAGAGTCACTCCACTTCCCCAAGCCATCCAGGAACACAGCAGGGGAGTCACAGCTCCCAGTTCCCTCGCCTCCAAGTTCATCACAGGAGTCAGGAAAATTCAGTCCAATATTTTAAGACATAAGCCATTTGAATATTCACTTAGCTAAGTTAAAAACATACATACCCAAGCAAGCAGCAATGGATTTCCCTTTATTGTTCCACAGCAGCCTAACATTCCAACTATTATTAAAAAACAGCACACAGCAATCATTATGGGGTGAATCACTGAAAAATATGTCAAAATGAATGCTTCTTCCAGCCTGCAAAAGAAAACTGAAGTCTGAGTTAATGGTACCAAAAGACATAGCATTTATTTGAAAATCAATCATAACAATGAAAATGTAAGTTTTTGTCCTGACATCCACTGATGACTGCTTTAGTACAATGCAATTTGGATTATCAACAATTATGGATTATGCCTCACAAAATAAATTGTCAAATCTCATTATTAAACAGTAAGAGTCTGTAATCACAATGTTATTTGTACAAGTTAAGTGTTAATGTAATTTTTGACATTCACCAATTTATGACATTATAGAATGGCATTAAGTGTAGAGAAATGGGACAAGATTTACAGACGAAAGCAGTAAAGACTATCTTCAGAAGGACTAGAAAACAAATATAATTTACCAATGAAAACTGGCATCATATGGATGCATGAAGGATGAAATTTGTATTAGGCCAACGGTCCCTACTCCAGCTTTCATTGGTGTGGCTAATATTAATAGATTGTTTTCATTCTTTAGTTTGTCATGTTTCTCTTACAGACTCAACTGCATTATATGTTGGTTTACAATTCCAATGACTCTTGGTGCAACATAGTATTCTGTACAAGTATCTATTTTTAATCTCTGAATCTAATTAGGGAGTGTCAGTGCGTTAGCATGTGCTTCACCATGAAGGACACCACAGGCTGGGTCCTAAAGATGTCCATATCCATGGTTCTCACACACAGACTTCTCCAGCAGGAGGCATTGCATGGCACTCAGGAGAAGGAATCTTGGACAATATTTCCTTTGCTAAACCAGAACTTTTGCAATCAATTGTGGCATTTGCACAGCCTCTCAGAACAAACAGAATTGAACTTTATAAACGGAACTATTACTATCACCTTCTCATACGTTCATTTGGCAACAGCTTATATCTGTTTTTAAATGTTGTTTCATTTTTGGACTTATTTTGTTTTTTCTTTTGTGAGCAAAGTATTGGCAGGTTAGAAATTCTTTAAATTTAGCCTTGATCTCAGTCTGTTTCAGGGATCAGGGTCATTACGGATGCAAATTGACTCTTCACGGAACTTATACTACTAAGGAGGAAAACATTGCTGCAAGATTGGGGAACTTTGCATACTTTCACAGAATCTTTAGCTTTTGTGATGGGTCCAGCAATAACAGGGTTTGATTTCCAGTGAGGCATGACACTATTCCCCTAATGACCAGCAAGCACTGTTTAAGCAAAAAGAAAACATTGCAAATGGATAGAAAACACAAAAGTATGTTCACATAATTCATGCTGCATGCACTTCTTCACTTCATTATTTTATATTATGATAACAAAGTTTTCTTCTTTGATGAAAATTGAATGAATATTTTTTTTTCAACATGTGTCATAATAACTATTGATGAATAGTTTCAACAGTGAACGAAGGTATTTGTTTATGAAAAATGTTCTAATTCAGAAAGGCAGTTTGTAAAGGATAGAATTAGCACCAATCTTTAGCCTTTTTTTTTTAAACAGTTACCCACCATAAGCACATACCTCTTAACCTAACCACAGGTTTAATTATGGTTAATCAACTTGATCAGATATGTTATGATTCACTTCCAGAGCAGGTGGGATTCAAAGCCCTTCTAGCCCAGAGGTAGAGATACTGCCACTGTACCACAAGACGCTACAACCACAGTTTTAGGCTGTGTCTGTTCCTAGTGAATGTTCAATTAATGAATACAATGTAGTGCATACAATTTGTATAGAATGTTTTTCCAATGTCTTTAAAAACTAATCTCATTGAAAACAGACTAATCGCGCCATAATTCAGTGGTAAACTTCAAAAATGTTCTATACATTTCCCTAATCTTATCTGCAGTCTCTCAGACCATTGAGACTAAACTAAAGTAACTACACCTCAGCTAGAAGCAGAAATCTGGAGCTTTGCCACTCCAGTCTTCCCCATAGATGTGAGCTCAAAAGTAATCATAACAGTAACCAGAGAACTGGACAACTAACCCTGCACAAGGCTAGTATATGGTATGGGGTGATCTGAGGAACAATAGAAAATCCATTTCAAAAAAGAAGCACCAAATCTTGTTTTCTACTTCAGGTCTGAAACACATATCTGCTTCGACTGCGATGCTTGTTGCTGCCAGTATAGAACAGCCCACAGCCATCACTCAAGCTGCTCTGGTAACAACCAAGGCTGTGCCTCTAAAAGACCATGAATCAAGTTGGCAGTTATAATTTAGAAGATGAATTTCACAGCCATTTGCAAAAAAAAAATACGTTTGTAAAGTTATCAAAGCACATCTGACGTATTGGATGCAAGCTGTGAATAGTATCCTACTTCTACCACGAATGTAATTGGAGATAATTTACGACTATTTGATGCTGAGCTCTTGGCACAAATCAGAACTTCTTGAATATTAACATTAAAAAATAATTTGCTATTCAGAAACACACAGTTCAACAGCTACAGTACTGGCATCCACCAGACAATGTGGCAAATTGCCCAAGTACATACTGTACATAAAAAGGAGGACAAGTCCTATTCGGCCAGTTACTGCCCCATCAGCGTATTCTCGATCATCCAGCAAAGTGATGAAGGTGTCAGCAGCAGGTGCTATCAATGAACACCTGCTTAGCAATAACCTGCAGAATGGTGGTCAGTTTGGGTTCCACGAGAGCCAATCAGCTCTTGACCTGGTTTCAGTCTTAATTCAAACACAGGGAGAACAGAATTCTAGAGGTTAGGTAAGAGTAACTTCCCTTGACATCAGACCACATTTGATTGAGAGTGGCATCAAGGAATCCTCACAAAACTAGAGTTAATGAGAATCTGGAGGAAAACTCTCCACTGATTCAAATCACATCTGCCACAAAGGAAAACGTTGGGGTTGTGGGGGCGGAGAGGTATCTATCATCTCAGTTCCAGGGAATCACTATACAAGATCCTCTTACACCTCAACCATCTTCAGCGATGCTTCATCAATGACCTTCCCTCCATCTTAACATCAGAAGAAGGGATGTTCACTGATGATTGTATAATATTCAACATCATTCATGACCCCTCTGAAACTGAATCAGTCTGTACCCAAATGCAGTAATACCTGGACAATATCCAGGTTTGGGCTGATAAGTGGCAAGTAACATTCACACAACACAAATGCCAGGAAATACTGACCTCCAACAAGAGAGAATCTAACCATTGCCTTTTTAAATTTAATAACATCACCATCATGGAATTCTGCTTTGCAGAAATTCACCAAGGCTTCTTTGAAAGCACTTTCCAAACCCTCAACTACCACCATTTAGGAGGACAAAGGCAGAAGATACTTTGGAACACTACCACCTGCGAGTTCTCCTCTAAGTCACTCATCATCCAGACTTGAAAACATGTTGCCGTTCCTCTGGTGTCGTTGGGTCAAAATCTGGGACTTTCCTAACAGCATTGTGGGTCTACCTACAGCAAAGGGACTGTTGTCAACATCTTCACAACAGTAACTAGGGATGAGCATGAAAGGAGGCACAGCCAGCATCACCCACATCCTATGAATGAATAAAAAAATTAGCTCTCCTAAAATATGAAAATCATTTCCTGAGATGTGTAAGCTTCTTTTTAATGCAAAATAAGCCACAAGCCTGTATCAACTTTGACATTTATTCCATTTTAGCACTAAATATTGTCATGTTTGAAGCCAAGTTGAAAGAGTTTAAAATGATCAGAGTCAAGTATTGGATTTCATCAGTTGCCATGAATCAAGCCATAAAACTTAATTATGAACATTTTATATTTTTGAACTGCACCCCAAAAGGATCAATACTGTTAATAAAAAAGTTGCTTGAAACAGGTACCTAATATTCACCTTAGTAATTAAAAGCAATTTGATGTTTAAAGAGGTTTAATTGCTTGTAAAGTTGGTCAACTTGTGATAAAAAAGGCAAGGGAAGTAAATGAAGACAAGGAACTCTACTCAAATTATCATAAAATTCCAGTTTGGGAGTTTTGATTTTAAATATCAGATGATAATGAAATAAAATCATTGACATGCATTAGATGGAATGCAGATCATAGATCATAGAATGCCTACAGTGTGGAAACAGCCCTTTGGGCCAACAAATCCACACTGACCCTCAGAACGTTGCACCCAGACCCATCCCCCTAGAACCCACCTAATCTACACATTCCTGAACACTATGGGCAATTTAGCATGGCCAACCCACCTAGCCTGCACATCTTTGGACTGTGGGAGGAAACCGGAGCACCCGGAGGAAACCCACAGAATCTGATCTTTTCAGATGTTGTTTCTGGATGGCAACTGCTACACTGTAAATATGTAGTTACAATTCATGTTTGACAAACCAAATAAGTAACTCCATTAATAAAACTTATTAATTTATTTAGCTTATACATACCTGGTCTCTGTTGTTAACACAAGTACATTATTCAGGTAATCTCTCATCCACGCAGACACACCCAGAACACACACTGACATCAGCTGTAAAATATGCATGTCTTTTATTTACTATTCTGTAGGCAAATATTTGAAACGGCACAGCAATTTCCTTTTGCTGAACAGGTTTTCCATTTTACCGCTCATCGGCTTTTAACCACAGGATATTTCTATGCTCCAAAATGCAGACACAGATACGTTACTATAGTCAGACCTTTTCTTTAAAAACTGGGGACTGTATTTCATTGTAACATCAAGAAATAGTTCAATTTCAAGTTATAAAAATTAGCCTGTTGAAAATTGTGTTATATTATTTCACAAGGCTTAGCTTTGGTTATGGGCAAAGCTATTATGAAAATAAAGACTTGCAAGATTTTTCAATATTAGAATTTGTGCATGGCACATTCTCTCAAACAGGAAAATGATAATAACCAGACAATCTGTTTTGTGATGTTGTTTGAGGACTAATATTGGCCAGGACATGACAGAAAACTGCCCATATTGCTCAAAATAATATCATAGGGTTTTTTTATGTCCACTTTGGGGAGGGGAGGGGGGAGATAGCTGTCAGATTAATGCCACATATGACAATTAGCACCTCTGACAGTGCAGCACTGCAGTGTCAGTCTTGACTTTTATGCTCCTGTTGCGGGCCTTGAACTTGTTTATATCTGGTTGTGCAAAAGGGGAAAAAAGAGATGTTTAAGATAAATTTCAACTTCTTTTTACCCATATCGATGCAGCTTTGCTTAGTGTTAAATTGTATTCAGTTTTGTTATAAATATCTTTGCTAACATTGCTGATTAAAGATGTAGAATTCGCCTAATAATAAAATAACTGAATTTTAGAGTACATTAGGAAGCCCTAAAAATTTTCAATCTGTGAAAACTGTAGATGACTAACAAATTCGTTCATGATCTGTAAAAAGTGTAAAATCATATCTGTAAATTTTTACACTGTGATGCAGATTAGGGGGCAGTTCAAATACATTGTGAAAACTAATACCAAAATTATTTTATTTTTTGAACCAGAATCTTGAGGATCTATATCAAATTAGAAAATATTGTCTTGATAAAATTGTTTAATATCCTTTGGAAATATACCTTCTCCAATCAAATTGAGTGAATTGAAGGCTCATTATTATAATAGGACCTCTTGATGCATCATGTAAAGTTGCACAAATATGAGAACTAATTTACAAAGGTATATAGCGTTTTATTCATTCCAAATTACACACAATGCTATTAAGAATTATTGACTAATGGTATCAGGGCACCACAAAAATTAACCATAATGTAAATAACAAGTATTCTGCCCACACACATTCATGAGATAGCTATCAACAGGTCACTAAAACTAACAGAAACAAATATTTTCCTCAGGGACATCCAAAGTTCAAGCAAAAATCAATTAGTTCAATATTGGTGAAAAAAGATTGTAGCAGCAGTGTTGCAATCTTACTAACACTTCGTCAATTTCTCATAAATGACAGTTTAGAGCGCTACCTGGTAACTGCTGGCCGCTAGTTATGAGCAATAGTAAAGGAGTCTGGTTTTGCTCCATACTCACCCAGAAAAGAAAATTTAAAGCATAAAGGGAGCAGCGAAGACATTTCACAGAATCTTCTCTGGCCATTCTGTAAGAAGTTCGAGGGTTGACCCCATCATTATGTTTCACAAATAGACCATTCCCCTTGAAAAGAGTCAGAAGTAAAATGTCACAAAATGGAATGGGCGATCACACAGAACAACCGCTCACTATTTTGGTCTAAAAATTAAATTCTAAAGCATATCATTGTTCAACGACCCAGTAATATATAAATTCTCCGATTTGCAAATATAAAAGCGGCAACACTGTAAATAGATGGAATTGGTATTTATGTACCGTGAGTTATAAATAAAAACGTTATTCGTCCTTTAGGCTCACTCTGAATTAAAATAAACTTCGCGGCTCTTCAAAATTTGGATTAGAATTAAAATATACGTTCATCTTGACTTACAGGTTAAGTTTATACGCACACTAATAAACTGTCAACTTTTGAGAACTGACCAATTTATTCCAGTCTTGACCTCCAGCGTTTTAACTCTGCAGCGCATTCTAATCCGTTGTATCACTCACTGCGCTCTCCAAATGTCTAAAATTCTCTGCTGACTTTCCAAAGAGAGTTAAAAAAAAAATCACGTTGCAGTTGGTCGATACATTGAATTACTTAATAAATCTCGACAGGGTGATTAACCCGTAACCTGGGATATTTGGTAATGGATAATCTTAGCAAACGTTCACCCGTACGGCGCGTTACTTATTGACCAAGTCTATGCCTTGCGACCCAACTCTCCGTCAGGATTCAGAAACCAGAAAACATCACAATATCTGCACCGTTGTATTATTAAGCAATACCACAGGTACAAACTCAGTGCCACGGTTACAAACATTTAGAGTCCCACGCGTATTTCCACAGTGTCACAAGTGCACTCAGTGCCATAGGTACAAACTGAAACTCTTTGGCAAACTCTGTGTCGCTCAATAAGACTCATCTCAAACTCTGTACCTGGGGCATTAAGTCTCACAGTGCCACATGTATGTTCCGTGTCACAGGCGCACTCACAGTGCCAAAGATACAATCTCAGAATACTGCAACAATAATCAGTATTAAATCCCTTAACAGAATGAAATGGCCCAAAACGTTTCTGGGGAACAGAAACAAAAAAAAGGCACCAAACACACAAGGAGAAAATATGGTGGATGGCCATAAGTTTGGTCAAATGAGGGAAATTTTAAGGGGTATCTCCAAAAAGAGAAGTGAGATAGAGAGTCTTAGAAGATTAGAGAAGGAATTTCAGAGTTTAGAGTCTCGGCAGCTAAAGTCAGGAAAACCAATGTGGAAGAATTAAAATTTAGGATGCTCAAAAGATCACAATTAGTGGGACACAGACATCTGGGAGGATTGTAGGGCTCGAGGACGCTGCACAGGTAAGAAAGCGTCGGTCATGGGGGGATTTGAAAACAAGGGTGAGAACATGAAAATTGAGCAGTAACTTAACCAAAGGCCAGTGAGCACATAGAGTGATTACTAAACAGCATTTGTCGCAAGCGAGAATATGGGCAGCAGAGTCTCGGATAATCACAAAATTCTGACAAAGAATGTGAGAGCCCAGCCCTGATTTTGTTTTCTTTTGTATAATTTTCAAGTCTGGAGATAACGAAGACATGCATGCAGACTTCAGCAACAATTGAGGGGAGAGGGAGTGATGGAACGTCATTGAGGTGGGAAGGTGGTGTGGATGAGAAGATTGAAAGCTTACCTCGGGGTGAAATACCACACAGAGGTTATGACCAGTTTGCCCGGGAGGGAGACTGACGGAGACCAAAGTAGAGTTTGTACTGGGACCAAATATCACTTGCTTCAGGCTACCAATACTTAACTGGAGGAAGTGCTCATCCAGTATTGGATGCCAGATAAGCAGCTTGATAATTTGGAGACAGTGGTCGATCAGGGCAGCTGGTGAAACCGAAAGTGGTCAGCAACACGTGGAACTGAATGTGTTTTCAGATGATGCTGCCAGATGAGAAGAAGAGGGTCCAAGCATAGATTCTTGGGGGACACCCGAGGTAATTGAAAGAAAGAGATTTTCTGTCCTCAATTAGATAAGTAAGAATGGAATAAGGTCAATGCAGCAGTTACACCCAGCTGTGGAACAACACCAAGGAGGACGATAGTGGGATCAACTGTGTCAAAGGCAGGTACAACTCGCAAAGCCACAGACACAAACTGTCATTGTTACTGGTACAAACCCACAGTGCCAAAGATAAATTTAAAATGCCAGAGCTACAAACCAACAGTGTGAAAGTTACAAACTCACATTACCATAGGTACAAACGTACTCCTACCAAAGGTACACATTCACATTGTCACTGGTACACATTGCCGAAGACACAAACTCAGAGCGCCACACTCACCAACTATTTTAATCCAAACGCTAATGTTGCAAAACAAAACGTGAAAATTTGTACAAAAAAGCTCGCAGTTCGAACTAAAGTGAAAAGTGAATGTAAGAGCGCGAGTCTCCCCGGCCTGAGCAGCGAGTTTGCAGCGCGATTTTACATTGGGTCCGGAAACTCCCAGCAACGTTTCTATCAACAGCGAAGCTCCTGCTACTTGCACACTTTGCTTTCTGAGTAAATACCGGTCCCAGTGCGGTCCCCGCGTCCCTCCACACAATCTCAGCTCACTACCCAACCACTTTGACAGAAAGGGTGGACCCACACGCTGCGCATGCGCCACGTCCTCAGCTCTACATCTCCCAGAACCAGAAGGCTGTCCCCAGGTCTTACAGTCCTACAGACTCTTATCATTGATGCACTGTTGGACCCGCAGCACGGAGAGCGAGGTTCTGCTTATACAGTACAGGTCTCCAACCAAGCCACCTCGCCATTTGACACAAAAAAAAAATCCTTCAATGCACCTTGATCCTTTCAGAAAAATGACCACATCTCAAAGTAATAATCGTTGAACTCCTGAATTTCATTTTCATAGTCCCGTCAGTATTAGGAATGGATAATAAATGTTGGCCGGGCCCACGGCGGGACATGCCCCAGAAAGCATAACGAAGAGTAGGAATTCCTAACTATAAAACAAAGTTTTCCCACATGCAACCTGCAGCACAGAATCCTTCCCTCGATCGACAAGAAACAGTATTTGGGGTGTGGGAAGTGTAATGGGATGGTGATGAGGAGATAGCATTTTATCATTCTTAACGTTTTACGGGCACACTCGATATTAATGCACAAATAAAAGTATTGATAATAATGTACTTATATCCATAATCATTTGGACTTGTTTTCATTTGAATGTGCGCATAGACAAAGATAGGTTTAAAAGTGGTTAAACGCTTTACAAGGTTTAAATAATTCAATATGATATTATGATCCACAATGCAATAGTTTTGCCGCAAGGTCTTTGGAATTTGTTTCACTGCAAATGACTCGGAAATAACTAAGAATATGTATATTTTAATATATTATTAGTGGTTTGTTGTTCCCGGTCTCTTTGTGCTTCTTTTCTTTTGGTTTTTAAAATTAAAATGTTTTGATTGGTATCAAAAAGTATATAGATCAGTCATTTCTCCTCTCCCTTTTAATTTTCCCAGCGTATAAACAAATAGGTAATTACCTTATAAGTAGGAATGTTCCTATCGTTACTTATATTACTAGATTATACAAATCCTGGTAAAAGGAAACAAACCAGTCCAACACAGGGTGATTATCTAGGATTTGTTTCACATGTATTTACCAGTTAGAAGGCAGATAAATTCCCTAAGTAAAAGTAATAGTTCTTTCACCAGTGGTTGTTTTCTGTGGTTGGGGAGATTTTTGTTAACATTATTAAAGGTGCAAAGTTCCTCTTCAGAACCACTCATCACATATTTACTTAAGGTTTAGATTTTCACTATTTTTCACTATTCCTCATTTTGCCTCTCTAGCTCTATATGACGCTTTTTTTTCTTCGCTTAATCTCTGGTTCAAGGTTTGTCTTCAATCTTGTGTCTTTACCCAAACCTAAGACTAAAACACATATCCTGCAAACATTGGCTTAAAAGATTCACTGAAAATCTCTGACTTTTCTTGAAAGCATAACAAGCCAGTCAGGCTACTTCCCATAGTTATTTGTGAATTATTTGTCAGATTAAAAACTGGAAAATTCAGTATAAATTGCAGAAGCACTCATTTCTATGTGCATATCTGTTGAACAAATGTAATGGAAATAAAAATGATGACACCTTCATCCATGTCTCAATGAGTGGCTTGTACTGTAAGGCATGCTCCCCATGCATTTGATACAATCTTAAGCACAATGGAAAGTACAAATTGATAACAAAGCTGCATACTCAAACAAAAGAAATGTAGATTTTTAAAAACTATTCATGATATTAAGAACAATGAGTAACATCTAGCATACCAAATAAATGTGCCAGCTATCATAGAATCCCTACAGTGTGGAAACAGGCCCTTTGGCCCAACAAGCCCACACTGACACTCAGAGCATCCCACCCAGACCCATCCCCCTAATCTACACATCCCTGAACACAATGGGCAATTTAGCATAGCCAATCCACTGAGCCTGCACATCTTTGGATTGTGGGAGGAAACCAGAGCACCCAGAGAACACCCATGCAGACTCTACACAGTCACCTGAGGGTGGAATTGAACCCAGGTCCCTGGTACTACGAGGCAGCAGTGCTAACCACTGAGCTACTGTGCTACCCCAAATATTTAATGTTACAATCACACCTATTCAATCTGCAATCACTACAATTCAAGTCCATTTGGCATAAAACTCAGCTGGAAATGTACAAACCAGTTTAGTATGGGGATTGGACCCACAACCATAGCATTATTAGCACCACACTCTAACCAGCTGAGCTAACCAACCACCATCTAGCATACAGATATCCTTCTGATCTTGAGATGAAGAAAATCATCTTAGTTCATTTAGAAGATCGCAAGAAGAGCTGTGGCTTCACTGTAATGGCATGCACATGTTTCATCAATTATTTCAGGATTCCTGTTTCCATTACTTCAGCTGAAAATTCACTGAATTTACTGAAAATTCAGTCTAAGCTGCTTTCTTGAACTACTGCAGTCCATATGTTGTAGGTAGACCCACAATGCCATTACAGATGGATTTCCAGGATTTTGACCTAATGACCATGAAGGAACCATATTTCCTCCAAGTCAGGATGGTGTGTGTCTTGGAGGGAAACTTGAAAGTGGTGGTGTTCCCATGTATCTGCTGCCATTGTCCTTCTAGATGTTAGCGGCTGTCAGTGTAGAAGGTGCTGTCTAATGAACCTTGGTGAATTTCTGAGTGCATCTTTTAAACAGCGCACACTACTGCATCGGTGTGGGAGGGAGTGAATGTTTGTGGATGTGGTGCAAAACAAGTGGGCTGCTTTGTTCTGGGTGGTGTCAAGCTTCTTGAGTGTTGTTAGAGCTGCACTAATCCAGTCAAGTGGGGAGTACTCCATCACACTCCTGACTTGTGCCTTGTAGATGGTGGATTGGGTTTTGAGGAAGTCAGGAGGTGAAATATTTGATGTGGGATTCCTGGCCTTTGATCTCAAAGAATTTTCCTCTAGATGCAGCTACCCATTCCAGAACATCTGCAGAGCATGTTATTCTGTTTACAGTGTACCATCATGGCGTGACATGTAAGCAAGGTAAACAGCTGTACATTGTTTACTTGTGAATGCAGCACTCTTTATGAAGGAATAAGAGGATGCTGTGACGGAGGATGAAATCTTCCAGATGCAATAAGAAACAGCAGCTTTCATGGTCTAGAAATCATCAGCCTAGCAAAGACATTGAATCTAACCATCAAGTGCTTTGCACAAGTCAAATAAACTACTCTACAAGATGAGTTTTGTGTTTCCATTTCTGGGAACAGGCTGTCCACCAATACCCATTACAAGATCACTGACTCTCACAATTACTTCAACTACACTTTCTCACACTCTACTTTGTGCAGGGATTCCACTTCATTCTCCAGTTTCTTTGTCTCCAGTGCATGTTTTCTGATGATGCCACCTTGCACCATGCTGTCTCTGACATGACCTCTTTCCTCCTCATCTGAACAGTTCAACCCACAGTGATTGATAGGGCCTTCCTGCAACCCATCTTCTGAACTACTATTCTCATTCCTTCCTCTCTTTCCCGGAATGATAAAGTTCTCTTGTCCTCACTTTCCACCCCACTTATCACTGCAATCAAAAGATCGTCCTCCACCATTTCCAACATCTCCAGAAGGATGCCACCACCAAATACATTTTCCCCTCACCTTCACAGTCAGTATTTCACAGTGGCACCCTGGTCCACTCCAAATAAATGCTCACTCCCACAAGGCACCTTCCCATACAATTGCAGCAAGTGTCACAATTACCTATTGACTTCCTCCATCATTACTGTACAAGACCTAAACACACTTTCCAGGTGAAACAAGGGTTTTTCAAGCTGTGTTAATGCAATTAGGTATTGATCAATGATTTTCACCTAGAACCCTAAAATTTAGCATGTTTCATACATATATTACATTCACTTAGGGTTCAAAGTGTGTCTTCAGTGCATTCAAAATTTCTGCAGCCTGTTTTTCTTTTCTGCTCTTCAGACTGATTTAGGGTTTAAAAGAGTCTCTCCCTAAGTGATGATTAGAGCTACCTGTAGCTGATCTACATTGTTAGGTCTGTCACAGTCTCCTAATTTTGCCATTGCAAGTGGAAAAACTGCCAGCTCTATTTCATATCAGCTTTTATTTCAACCAGGCCTGGGAAAAGAAAGAAAAGTCATGGCATGTGACTCACACAGTGTTTCAGCTGTGGCTAGCATCTATTGTTCCTTTTCAGTATCATTCATGTGCTTTTTGCGGCTTTTACAGCTCTGAATATTTTTGTTTCTCTCTTTTAGCTATAGCTCCTCAACACTCAGTCTGAGCTCCACTTCTGACACCATGTGATGCATTCAAACCAATACCATGTTGCCTGTACTGGGATTTTATTGATATTGTGTGCAAGATGGATGCCCCAGTCAGTGTCTCTTTGCAAAAGTCATTTGACTCCAGGGAGCCAGGAGTTATAGTGGTACGGTATTACATTTCTATACTAAACAACTAAAACCTGCAGAGATACATTTGTGAACTGTAGGCCCTCTCTCTGCCATAGTCTTCCATTTCCTTTCCCTCCAATTACAACACTGACAGTGAAAAAAATACTTCTTTAATTCAATACAGCTATCTTTCGCAGGGCAAGACTGACTTTAAGAACTGGAGGCTAATTGGAACACATTGTGAGTTGTTAGAGTCTTTTTTAAGTGTGTAGCCAGGCAGTGTTACCAGGCTATTTACCGAAGTCATTCGTATGAGTGGGTAATATAAATATTGCATAATACTTGCCTCAATGGGAACAGCTGTGGCAGATTGTGAGCTGCAACCCCTGCACCAAATTTATGTTTTGATGAACTTTAACCCTTGGTATCCTCCAGCTGAGCTGATCGATCTGACAAAATTTGCACTGGGCTAGATACAAATGTGGCATACATTATGCATTGTGACTACAACTTTGGTACCATTTCTAATCTACTGGATTTTACCAAATTCCATTACTAATAAGCTCATCAATTTGTGGATTCTTGGCAAAAACTAAGTTGCTGTAATAAAATTGCA